GAAAGCTGGACAGTGAATAAGGAAGACCGTAGAAATGGTGCTTTTGAGTTATGTTGTTGGAAGAGAATATTCAAAGTGCCATGGGCTGCCAAAAGAACCAACAGATCAGTTTTGGAAGAAGTGCAGCCAGAGTGTCCGTGGAGGCCAGGATGGCCAAACTTCATCTCTCATACTTGGACATATTGTCAGGAGGGAACAGTTGTTGGAGAAGGATGTCATGTTTGGTAAGGTGGAGGGTCAGAGAAAAAGAGGAAAACCCCTAACGTGATGGATTAGCCAAGTTGCAGCATCGATGGACTTAAACGTGGCAATGGTAGTGAGGTTGGCCCAGGATTGGGCAGTGTTTCGTTCTGCTGTGCATAAGGTTGCTATGGGTCGGTTACCGACTCAATGGCACCTAACAACAACTCTTGTTTCACAGATAGTTACATTTGTGGATAGGTTTGCTAACCTTGATCCTGGAACCAGAAATGGATTAGAGGCTCCCTCTGCTGGTCGTATATGGTGGTGGTGGTTATGTGCTGTGTAGTCGGTTCTGGCTCATAGCAACCCTGTAAGGGGTTTCTGAGGCTGTAAATCTTTACTGGAGCAGAAAGCCTCATCTTTCTCCTGCGGAACAGCTGGTAGTTTCAAACTGCTGAACTTGAGGTTTGCAGCCCAATTCGTAGCCACTACGCTACCAGAGCTCTTTGCTGGTCGTACATAGAGACCAGTATACTGAGTTTTGATGTTGGTATGTGTTGTTCTGACACATAACCACCCTGTCTGTATAGGAGCAGCTGGTGGGTTTGAACTGCCAGCCTTGTCGTTATTAGTCCAGTGCTGATCCTACAGCGCCACACCAGGACTCCATTACAGACACTCATTTGTATCACATGTTACATAATACTATTTGTGATTTGAATTCACATACACGTACATTCCTCTCTTTCTAGCCCCCGTTTGACAGCTTTAGTAGAGGTCAATTACTAAATATATTATTTTCATAAGTGACATACCACCACAATGATAGTAATTCTAATTACTTTTTATTGAGTGCCTACAGTTGTCGACCTTTGTATTTAATGCTTTACATAGCTCATTGAAATTTTACAAGCATCAAATTTGTTGATAAGTAAACTTATAGCTAAGTGAATTTAAGTAATTTGCCCAAAGTCACATATCTAGTAAGGACAGAACTGAGATTCAAACCCTGATCTGTCTGACTCCAAAGGTATGTTCTTTCTTGCTGTGACTTACTGTGATAATTTAAAGCACTTAGCATAGTGTCTGACAGAGTAAGCATTCCGTAAATTATAGCTGTTATTACACTGACTGTCAAGATGGTGATAACATAGAAAACTACCATAGAAAATTGGTAAAGGGTATGAAAACCACACTTTAAAATGAAACATTAGGATTGGGAAACAGCATTTTAAGAACTGCAGTTGTGTAAGTAAACAAAAAGTTCTTATAAGGTATTTCAGAGACAGATGACAATTGTGACCTTGGGGAGGACTTGTATAACATGTAAGGCCCTTTAGGATGTTTCCCTCTTCCCTTCCCAGCTTCATCTTCTGTCATTGCCAGACACTCTGTGCTAGAGACATGATCAACTTGCAGTTTCATGAAAGGTTCATTCATTCTCATGCCTCCTTGCCTTTGTACCTGCTGCTTCATCTCCCTGCACCCTCACTCACCTGGCTAACTCCTGCTACCTTCAAGACAGGGCTTGAGTGCCCCCTCTCCTAGGAAGCCTTCCCTAATTCTCCAGTTTAAGTAAGTGCATGCCTCTATTCATCACACTATATATAACTGTATGCTTACCTATTTGTCTTACCAAATGTTAAACTCTTTGAGCTTGTAATTGCCTATAGTAGGCCTCACTAAAGGATTTAGAAATGAACAAATGCTTTTGACACCACCTTGTTGTTACTTATATACTTGTTGTCATTTATATCATGACATACCTAATTAAATGGTCAGCAGAGCATATGTTTTGGAGCTGCTGGTTCAGCCGTGATATTGAAATATTAGATGTAAATTTCAGAGAATCCCTTTATATGGTGTTTTAGGAACCCAAGGATTGAACCCTGGAATAGAGTGTTAGATCATGTTTGGGCATCAGTCTTACCTAAGGTGTATATAATAGAAAAGAACTATCCATGCTGTCATTTTCCACTTAAAATTTTTGGGACCAGAGGATTACTGTTCTTGAAGAATACAACCAGAAAGATCAGAATTAAGCATGTTAGCTTAAAGGGCAGCTTAAACTAGGAGGTGTGTGTATATATATATATATATATATATATATATATATGGAAATCTGAGGACTGCATAAGTAAGCAAGTAGAAAATGAAACAATTAGCCCTTATAGGGTTTCCAAGGTTATAAATTTTTATGGGAGCAGAAAGCTTCATCTTTTTCCTGCAGAGCGGCTGGTGGACTCAAACACCAACCTTGTGATTTGCAGTCCAGCATTAACCTACAGCCACCACGTTCCAAATATGTATATATGTGTGTGTATATATATGAAAGACAAGTCTTTCTATTTCTGCAGATTTATAGACTCAGAAACTATATACAGAATTGATATGAGTAGGAACTGACTCTACAGCACTTAACAATAATAGATTTGTACCAAAGGGTAGTGTCTACACAGATGCGAAGCAAATTAATATTAGAACATTTTCAAAATGTTATTGGCAATTTATGATATAATATTCAAGTATGGTATACATATTCAGTTAATGTGCACATCTTTGAATTATTGGATTATTTTTATAATTAGTGAGAGGAACTAGATAAGGAATAAGATGTTCTAAGCAAAGAAGACCCTACCTTACAGCTACAGAAATTATAGTCCAAAATAGGTGAGTAAATAATTTCTCACCTGGTAAAAAGAACCATCTTCATGCGTTTCCCAGAAGAACAAATGCCAAGTGCTTACAAAACTTGAAAGCCCATTATGCACAGCCTGCTGAGGAAAGCAAGCTTTCTACTGGGACAGTGAAATATGGCTTTTGTAGAATTAATTTTATTGAGGAAGCAATAGGAGGCAGGCTTTGAGTAAACTCTGGGGGTTATAGCTCAAAGTCTTTTCTCATGCCAAGCAGTGCATGCAGACACACTTCATTGCCATTAGAGGGGAAATGTAACTGTTGCTAGAAGGGAGAAACCTTTTATATAAAATTAAATGCAAGTACCTTTCAATTGCATTAGATCATTTACTGTATCTATTCCTAAGAGAGTCACTAGCAAAATATAATTTTTCATTTAATTTTTAGTGCTCACATGGGGTGGCCAAGAAGAAGCAATGAGTCACAACTCTAAGGTACAGCTGTCTAACAGGTAATACTGAGTATAGATTTGCATTTTAACAACTGAAAAATAGATACTTCATACCTAACACAACAGTTGTTTATACAGCATGTACTTACCAGGTATATGCAAACAAAACTAGCCAGTAGGACAAAAGTACAAGGGAGTAATGTTTTGATTTCTTATCTGAAGGTAGATATGAGTGTTTTGCAAATTTCAGACACATAGTTGACACTTAAAGGGTAGAGCAGTTTCCTTGTCAACAGTGATTTACTACTTCTGTATCTTAAGAATATTAAATTTTCTTAATGTAGTAGAGGAATTTGTATGTACCCTTTAAATATCAGTGTTTACTAATCACACATAAATATATTTTGGGATTACTCTAATATGAATGAAATAGCCATATTATATGTTGAGGCAAAAACAAAGTGTAGTGCACAGATCCATGTATCTCTGGTCTTTATTCTGAGGTCTGCCAGCATCTGTGCCCCATAGGGTGACTACCACATACCATATATTTTCATGCCATTTGTTGTTCCACCATCAATCAGAACAGATTTTCCTGAAGTCTGAGTGGAAGAGATTGTTAGCTTTTTAAACTCAGTTTATGGTTCTTAGAATGTACCAGCTGGAAACAATGTTCTCTTTTTTTACTGAGAAGAATGATGAGTAGGATAATTCATTCTATTCTGATTCTTTTTATAATTCAGCAGTCCAGTTATTAAAAGGAAGAAATTCAAGCATTTTTTGTTTAATTCATATTTTTAAATTATTTACAAAAGGAATGTATGTTTATTATAAAACTTCAAATACTGCAAATTACCTATAAAGTAGAAAGTAAATATCTGGGATATCCCTATCCTCCAGAGACAACTTAGTTTAGTGTCCGTTTGCCCAATATTTTTTCAATGCTTCTACAAATATACATGTATTATCATTATCCCCCATAATAATAGGTTTATATTATTCATACTTCTTTTTTTGCAAAAAATTCTAATGTCTAATGATAAAACATAGACATCTTTTCATATTGAACATATAAATGTACCTTATTCTTAACAGCTATATAGTTTTACATTTGGTAGTGCTTTAATCAACCCTTTCAATGGATTGTTTCCAATATTTGGCTTTCCTTGTACTGAGAATTAATGCGCTGGACTGCTAAGTCGATTTGAACCACAAGGTCGGCAGTTTAAGCTCACTAGCTGCTACTCAGAAATCCAATACAGGATCGCTATGAGTCAGAACCGACTCAGTGGCACTTAACAACAACAACAACAACCAACAAAGATATTGCTGTGTGTCATCTTCGTATACTTGTGCATATTGTTGTAGGGTAAATTCCTAGAAGGAAATTTCTAGATCAGATATTATTCCCTTTTAAAAGCTTTATCACTTTACACTCTCAGCAGTACTTAGAGGAATGCCTGTTTCTCTATAGTGTCTCCAAAATTGTTTTTTATCTTGAATTTTGATAGGCAAAAATGATATGCATTGTTTTAATTGATAAGAGCATATATATTAGTGGTAATGACGTCTTTTTATGTTACTAAGCCATTTGTATTTTCTCTCTGGGAACTCCCTATGTGGTATTTTTAAAAGAGCATAATCATTAGATTAACTGTAGGCTTTCTTTACAGTTGCTTTATAGCTTATTTTTGTGCCTTAAAAGTATTTAATACCTTAAATAGAATGTAAAACTAAATGTGTATATTCTGGGCGTTTTCTGAATGTGTTTTCTTGTAACCTAGAGCGATGGAACTGTTACGGGTAAAAGGTCAAAGATCCTGGTCTGTTGGATTATCAGTAGCTGACTTGGTTGACAGTATTGTGAACAACAAAAAGAAAGTACATTCTCTATCAATTTTAGCCAAGGTAATTGCCATTCCATTCTATTATTAAACTTTCATATTATTAATATAAAACCACCAAGACTACTGTTCAGACAAAATTTTTGCCTTCAACACCAACAGCTTCTAAAGAAACACTTGGAAGAGGCAGTATAGTTTTGCCCTATCTTGCTTGGCATATGGGAAAAGTCTAGATTTCTCCTAGGCTTCAATCTTTCTTCCCAACCCTAAATACAATTTTTGGGAATCCCCAAAAAGTACTTATATACTTAATAAACAACTACTGGTTATCATTTGTCACTTTAGCCAGCCATCTGGTCTCTGGTTCATAGCTTTTCTTTTACCATTTTACCCCAAATATAAATTCCCTAAAATACAGGTAATCCTGTGTGGTACTGTAGGGTAAGCACTGGATTACTACCTGCAAGGTTGACAGTTCAAACCTACCAGTCGCTCCTCAGAAACCCTACACAGGGCCATTATGAGTTGGAACTGATTCCACGGCACTAACAACAAAAGCAACAAAGTACAATAAAGGATCTCCAGTAGTCCAGTAGTTAAGCACTCTGCTTACCTGCAAATTGAAAGGTTGGTTGTTTGAACCCACTAGTGCTTCATGGGAGAAAAGACCTGGTGATCTGCTCCCATAAAGATTGTTGTCAAGTGCCGTGAAGTAAGTTCCAACTCATAATAACCCTGTGTATGGTTTCCATAGCTGTAAATCTTTGCAGGAGCAGAAAACCTCATCTTCCTCCCACGCCCACAAAAATTACAGCCTATGGGCCATCTCTGCTCTGTCTTGAGAGTCACTATGAATTGGAATTGACCAGATAGTACACAGCAACAAAGCACAGGTAAGATGAAATGCAAAGACATCACTAAATTTTCTTGAAGACTTAGGAATGCCAGGAGAGACATACAACACAGTACAGAAAACAGGGACTGTGTTTGACTCCACCTCAAGTTCATGCTATACTCCCTCCCTCTCCCAAGGAATCCATACTGACCATCTTTTTTCTTAGCCTTAACCTGCTATCCATGTTGCAGAGTCCAGTTTACCTTCTCACAAAGAAAATGTCTTTGACCAAATTCTTCCCATCTACCAAAAAATATCTGAAATATATTGAATTTAGAAATGGATGAACAATATAAAAAAAAACCTTTTTTTTTTTTCTAAAAAAAGTTCTACTTGTGACACTTTTGTACTACAGTTAGAAAATTAAGAAAGAATATGATTTTTTTTTCCTTTTGCAGTGACTCAGCTCTACTAAAATCTTTTTCATTTCAGGGATATTATGATATAAATAGTGAAGTGTTTTTAAGTTTGCCTTGTATCCTTGGAACCAGTGGGGTATCTGGAGTCATCACAAAGACAATGAAAGAAGATACAGTGACTGAGAAACTACAAAGCAGTGCATCATCAATCCATGGTCTCCAACAACAGTTAAAATTTTGACCCTCAAGTGTGGGGTTACCTATAAAGAAAGGTCATTTAATTTTGCCAGCAAGTAATAGGGTTGGCAACGTCTGTGTCTATTACGTATTCTTACAAACTGCTGGTTAAGGTATATGTCTTCTTTGTAATGTGAATCCTAAAAGAGAGTTAGATACGGAGATTAAAAAATCTAATTTTCTTTAGCATTCTTGAGCTCTGTATATCATTTAAACCGGTAGCAGTGATACATTCATCTGTAATGTATCCTTGACTTTTATAATAAAAATATGAATTGCTAATGGTCAGGTATGAATTTACAAAGTCTGTGCTAGGTGTACATTCAAAGGATCCATAGCTGTAGTAAAATATGAATGTTTCTTCTGCAAAATACAGTTGGTATTAATGGTAAAGCATTTTATTTCCTTCTTCAAATTAATTAGCTACCAAAAAATGGAAAAGGATTTTATGTGCACTTTCTGAGTACATAAAGACAAGGTGTAGTTTTCATTTTCAGTGAGGTTGTCCTTTCTAAAATTTTCTATAACCTTTTTCTGGACTATAGAAGATGTCCAACATCTCATAAACTGACTATAAGAATAGTAGAGCTGCAAAGAAAAGTGTTTTCAATGGAAATAGATTATAAATGAAAGCCAAGCAGTTTGTTATAAAGCCAAAATGAGGTATTCATAAAAACTGTTGTTATATTGAGGGAGAGGTTGAATGGACTGATGGTTCTGAGAAAATCCTATAATCATTCTTAAAGAAGTGATTCAGAGTATTTACCTTGTTGTGATGGGATCAATAGCAATATTTCCTAATATGAATGATAGCATATTATTACTATTATAACAGGCAGCTAAGAATAACACTTAACGCCAACACTTCTTAGGTATCAGGTAGGACATGAGCACATTGTATTTATTATTTTATTGAATCCTTAATAATCCAGTAAGGTGTAGGGTCTATTATCATCCTCATTTTATAGGAGAGGAAAATTAAGGTTTAAGTGCCCAAGACCTTATGGCTATTAAGTGGCATTATCTACATAACTTAAAGAGCTCTGGTACCGTAGTGGTTATGAATTGGGCTGCTAATCTCACGGTCAGCAGTTCAAAACTACCAGCTGTTCCGTGGGAGAAAGATGAGGCTTTCTGCTCCTGTAAAGATTTACAGCCTTGGAAACCCTGTACAGAGAGAGTCACTATGAGTCGGAACTGACTCTATGGCACATAACAACAACAACATCTATACAACCTGTGCTTTTTCTAGTCATTGTTGTTTTATTTCCATTGGAATAAATGCCACTGAGTTGATTCTAACTCATGGCAACCCTGTATAAGAGGGGAAAAGCCTAACAGCTAGAATAGTTATCACAAAACAACAATGCTGGGTTTCTATACATGATGGAAGAATTATTTTCATTCTCATGTGGGGGCTTACTTTTTTTTTTTTTGCTTTTTTAGTATAGTTTTTGGAAAGACCGATTTCCTGGCTTCCTAGCCTTGGGAAACAGCAGAAGGGTTATGCAGTGAGATAGGCATTTATTTATTTAGTCATTTAGCTAACATTAATTGTTGTTGTTAAGTGTCATCGAGTCAGTTCTGACCCATAGTGACCCTCTAAAGGGTTTCTGAGGAGCAGCCAGTGAGCTTGAACTGCTGACCTTGTTCAAACCGACTTTGCAGTCTAGCACATTAACCCACAGCACCACACCAGGACTCCAATATTAATTGAGAGCCTACTAAACACCAGGTACCATAGTGGCCACTATAGATACAATGGTGAGTAAACCTGGACAAGGTACAAAACAACCTCATGGCCCTTACATTCTAGATGGGAGATAACAGTAATCAAATAATCTCACAAATGTATGATTAAAAATGTAATAAATACTGTGAAGAAGTCCAACATACTTTGAAAAAATATAATAGGGAAATCCAAAATTGGTTAGGAAGACAGGAATCAGATGGTTTACAAGGGCAGACACATCCTAGGTAGTGAAGAAACAATCAAATCAATGTTGAATTATTGTAATAATCAATGTTTATAATGATGAACTTAAATCATAAAGAAAAGGTTACATTATATTCAATATCAAGTGCTTAATAGAGATATATTTAATAGCATAGAGATACAATGTAGATATATATTTAATATGGAGTCCTGGTGTGGTGCTATGGATAAAGCACTGGACTGCAAGTTCGGTTTGAAACAGGGTAATCGGTTTAAACCCACCAGCTGCTCCTTGGAAACCCTATACAGGGCCTCTATGAGTTGGAACCAACTCGAGGGCACTTAACAAAACAAAAACATATTTAATATACTTGGGAAAATTTCTACCAGAATTGATTAGGATAAAAATTTTGTACATTTGAAGAAATGTTTTTGTTATTGTTATTAAGGGCTGTCGAGTAGGCTCCAACTTAGCCACCTTGTAGTTTCTGAGGAGTGGATTGGCAGTTTGAAATGCTGACCATTCAGTTCAAATTGACCTTGTTGTCTAGCACATTATCCTGCAGCACCACACCAGGACTAAGTATTGGTAATTTCACTATACAAATAGGTTATTTTGGTGTAACTCTAACAATGTATTTTCATTATCCTTTTGTATAGGGAAGTTACACTGAAACAGCCATTGACTGGGTTTTTTAAACTAAGCTTTTCTAATATCTAAGGTTATTCTTGATTGATAACTTGACTGCAACATATTGTATAAGTGAATAACCTAGAATTCACTAACAGTAAAAGGAACACACCAATTCTACAGATACTTATTGAACAATCTTCAGTTGTTCCATGTACTGTTTCAGAATTTGAGTCTTCAAAGATGAGTAATATAGTCTTTACCCTCTAGAAGCACACAGTGTAGAAGTAATTCTCTATTAGACATTTCCTTGAATGTGGAGCATTAGCAAGACTGTTGAAGTCCCTTGATGAAGTCAAGAAGCAGTACCACCACCACAACTCCACTATGATTTGGTGACAATTTGGCATTAATGATGTGTCTATTAACTTTACTTTCTTCATTTTCCCAAAATTATGTAACTCTTCTCATTATTATTATTTTTTTAATGATCTGATTTTGTAGCAGAAAAGTTCCTGTTTACATTGTAATTCCCTTAAATTTGAAGAATAATGAATAAAAGAAACACTGACTTTAAAATCACTAAGTGATTTATTAAGTGGACAGAACTCTGTTCAGGTTGAAGAGACAGTCTTTCATATAACTCATAGAGTATTCAGGATAATATTACATAATTTCAAATGGTTTCAATACAAAATAAAACTGGATTTTATCTTTTTTTTTTTTTTTTA